GCATGTGGGATTTTAACAGGATAAAGGAAGCTTTGATGATAAAGTGGCTGATAACACCAGAAGCAAAAAAGAAGCTTTGAATCAGTTATTTTGAGATTGGCATGGTTCAATTACATTCATCGCATCTGGCTTGAAAGAAACAAAGATTTATAGCCATTGTTAGCATAACAAAATCAGACAACAAGCATTGTGAAAATTCAATGGAGATATAAGGTTGCCCAAAGCTATTAGAGTAGTGAGGCAGAATCCTCTAATAACAATGCTCCTTCCAATGCTGCCCAAAATGCCTATAAAATTGGCTTTTTTGGTGAAGAGAAGTTAGGAGATGTTTCAATGGTAACAAATTCAATTTAGAATGGTAGTCTAACAAGATAAGGAAACTGCTGTCATTCACCCGAAACTAAAGGACTCTGCGATACCAAATCAGACTTGTCAATGCATGGATGCTGCTTCATGTCATTGTTCATGCAGATCAAGATAACTACTAGCAACATATATGGAAGATAATCCCTAGTTGTTAGCTCTTGGAATCCTTGTATATGTCATCTTCAGTACCCTTTAAGTGCTCTGCTTTTATGCTTACGTTCTTCTTCAGAAATAACACCAGAACAAAACTTAAAATCTTTCTCACATCTTCGGTTTTTTCTCACAACTTCAGTTCTTCTTCTGCCATGAGATTACCAGCAATTCTTTTCTAGTCAAGCATATCCAGAAATGCCTATGCAGGTCTAAGATTTTGCAGGAAGTTGCTATCAATCCAAAGTACTCTCTTCTCTGTAGCCAATTGAATTTTTGTGACTTGTGAATGTTTGGATATTGGTTTTTCCTTTAGTTTTCTTTGATTAACTTCTCAGGATAAACACTTCCTGTTTTTTAAATGATTATGCAAATAAACATCATCATATATACCTTTAAAAGGAAGTCTTTTTCTTTATAAGCTGAAATAATTTTTTTTTATTTCTTATAATATAGTGTTAAATAACTTATTCAACTTAATAATTTAAGTTATTAAGTGAGATTTTAAAATATAATTTATATTGTTCTATAATACACTCTTTCAAGTAAAAATTCTTCAAATTTAAAACTTACACAAAATCATACTATTTTATGTTTAATTTTTATCAAATAAATTAAGAATGATGAAATTCAAAATTTATAATCGCTTAATCATCAAAGCTATGATATCATATTAAAAAACTATCTCAGTCAAAAATTTAAATTATTAAATAAAACTTTAAAATATAATTTATAATACTTCTTAAGTGTTAATTAAAAAAATATATATATGCTCTAAGGATATGCCTTATTAACTATAAATTTTACGGTATATAAGCTAAGAATGTCAATACTTATTCAATCAAAGAGAGATAGGCATTGCAAGTGAGGTTCTGGCTTAGCGGTGAGAGGGGTTTGTTCTCTTCCTCCGCATCTGGGTTTGAATCTTACCATGCACGTCTGTCACCTGAGAGATAGGCACACAATAAAATAATGATTAAAAAAATAATGTATGAGTATTTAAAAATATTTGTACCACTTTTTATGAGTTTGATCGTATGTGATTTTTTTTTCTTATACTTGTATCTTTTTTATTGGGTAAATATTAGAGTAGCATCGTAAGATGTTTCTATACACAACCTCACAAGTTGCATAAGTAGAGTAAAGATTAAGAAAATTATGAATTCCATTTAGATCCTACCAAATTTTAGGTAGCAAAGTTGAAAGTGTTAGTGAGTGATTAGGAGTGTACTAATTTCGGTTTTTTAGTATGTTTTAAAAATTTATTTCTCTTGAATAGATAAAAAAATCTAAAAAAAATTATTTTAATTATTTTAAATAAAAAATATTTTTAAAAAATATTATAAACCACGTTATCAAACACACCATAAGTATATATTGGATAATGAAGTACAATGTTTTTTACAAAAAAATCTGTTTTTTTATGAAAATTTAATTTTTTATTTTAAATTATTTTTAAATATTTTTAAATTGTTTTGATTAATTTATTTCTCTTGAATAGATAAAAAAAATCTTTAAAAAATTATTTTAATTATTTTAAATAAAAAATATTTTTAAAAAATATTATAAACCACGTTATCAAACACACCATAAGTATATATTGGATAATGAAGTACAATGTTTTTTACAAAAACACTTTATAATTAAAAATATATTAAAATATTTTTTTTTAGTTTTTATTTTTTATATCAACATATATTAAAATTATTAAAAAAATATAAAATTATTAATTTTATTTAAAAAAAAATGAACTAAAAAAACAAACACAGTAAAATTATGTAATACTAATTAAGATCAACCACGAAAAAAAAACACACCGTTAAATTATTATGCAATGCTAGTCATTATAATAAATAATGGCCTTCAAAGTTAATGGGAAACCCAGGGCTGGGAATGAGAAGAGTGTCTGTCTCCACGCGATGGCCTCGAGTGTAAGAGTAAGACACTGGCTAAATGTGCTATTAGGACTCGCGCAAGCCATGTACATCGCACAAGAGCCTTCTGAGATCAACCATTGGAACACAAGCTCTTCGGAAGCAGAAGAAAACTAATGGCAAAATTTATATCACCATTATATTAATCTATCGGATAAGGCCAAGCCTTCTTTTTTTTTGTTTTTTTGCTTGATACTATTATTTTATATATATATATATCTATATATATATATATATATATATATTTATATTAAATAGTGAAGAGAAGAAAAGTAGATGTCATTCATAAGCTCACCAGTTCTCATCTCTTTGTTCCATCGGGTTTTGTGAGTTCATCAACTTAATTGTGTCTCTTCATTTTATACACTTAAGTATATATTTAGTGATTTCGACAGCAACTTCACCAAATTTTGAGATAAAAAAATGGGCAGCAGATTGCTCTAAATAAATATTCCTCCATCAGAGAAAGCCAATGGCATACAGATAAGGTCGCAACTATCCCTTGTAATTGGGGTTGGTATATATCTTGCAGATAATAATAATATTGTCCAATTAACTTTTCCATAGTTTATATATAAGGTAGTGTGTTTTTCTAATAATATTTAAAGTGGATCTGTAAATATATCAAATATTTACAATTATTTGATATTTGCCAAAGTTCTTGGGAAGCCTAGGACTGGGAAGGGGAAGAGTGCCGGCCTCCACGCGATAGCCTCAAAGTACAAGAGTAAGAAACCAGCCAAGTGTATTTGAGGTAGTGTATTGTTATATTTTAGCGGTAAAAATGGTAAAATGATGGAGACAATTGCGACAGAAACATGCTTTGTTATTTGTTAAAAAATTAAAGATAAAAATATAAGAATAATTTTTTTTTGGAATAATTCTAAAGTAAATTTATGTATTTTCAAAACATGAAGTGCAAAGAGACATATCTCTAGAGAAAATATTTATTATTTTTGATTTTTTAAATATCATTATAAAAAACTCTAAATTTTAAAATTGTTCAATTAAAATATAAAAAAAAATAAAAATAGTTATAATTATAATTTAAAAACTCAACTTAAGAATCAATATGGTGCAAAACCTAAATCAACAGTCAGAAATCTCAGCCAAAATTGATATAAGTCAAACATAAAAAATAAAAATAATTATTATTATAATTTTAAAACTTAACTTAAAATTAAAGTAGGGAGCAAGGTTGGGTTACAAGTCAAGTTGATTATTGACTCAGGTTAATATAAAAAAAAAATGGTTAATATCTTTGTTTTAAAACTCAACTTGAGGGTTGATCTAAGCTATGGATTGACATGATCAACTCAGGTTGGTCAATTGACCTAAGTTAAAGTGGATAAAAATTATTATTATTATAATTTTAAAATTTAACTTAGAAATTAATCTAGAATAAGACTAGGGTTATAGATTGAGAGGGTCAACTCGAGTTAATCTAAGATTTTTTAAAACAAAATTAAAGCAAACTTGTTTTGATCAAAAAAATTAAAAAAAATATCAACGGGTATTTTACTTGTGATTTATCTCAACTTGTTTTTAAATTGTTATCATTTTTATCATATATTAAATCATATTAATTTAATTTTACCTGTAGTTTATAAATATATATTGTTTGGTATATTAATTTAATTTTACCTGTAGTTTATATATATATATATATATTGTTTGGCCATTAATGCATTCAACAACTTCTTTTAATGTTTTTCATGGTTGAATCCCATTTAATTATGTTAGTACAAGATCCCGACATTTCAATTGAAGAAAAAAATTACCCTCCTTCTTTTTCTTCTATTTTATATCATGTATACGTTTAGAAAACGCAATCCATGGGTGGGTGACCACTTTCAAAAATCAAACTACATGAAAGAGCCTGTTAGGTCCCCAGTGAATGCAGGCTTACATGTCGATTAAAAACCATAGGTTATAGAATTCGAACCAGAAATATATTCTCTCCCTACTAACTTCCTTCAGTACTAACAAAATAAAAGATTTATAGAGCATTTACATGTAAATTAAAAAACACAAGTGGTAAAATTTGAATCTAGAATGTAGTCTCCCAATACTACATTCCTTCAATGCTAACAAAATAAAAGATTTACAGTGCATTGGCTAGAAATAATTAAGCTGGGGATGGAATTCGACCAAGATTCGTCCTTCTTGTATGGTGTAATATTTTGATAGCATTTCTCTCCAGTTTCATATTTTTAGAGCGAGACCTATTGTTTAGAAGCATATAGTTTCATATGCACATCACTAATTTGACTGCCTATTCATATACATAAGTTGTATCACTACAATACCACGGCATCAAGAATATTCTTGCAAAAGATCGAGAAGCTAGCTAGGTAGATGTCATTTTCATTTTTCCCTTATATTATAAAAATAACTACATCTCGGGCATCAAATTTTTTTTAATGATTTTTTCACCATTTAATAATAAATGATATTATAAAAAAATCAAATGATGAGACATACATGATCAAATGATGAGGCATATATGATGAGAGCTTCATGATATAAAGTCATGATCATATCTCTCACTTGCTTAGCAAACTAATTAAGTTCCAAAAGCCTAAAACCTAATCCAAAATGTTAGAATTATCTCCTACTACTTTGTTTTCAACATTTGGATGGCCCGTAGAGGAACCCACAAGCCATGAGGGGAACTACCTAAGTTTTAGAGATAGTGAAACCCCAGAGTCATTAATTACTCAATTCCCTCCATCTCAACCACAAATAATAAAGCTTGATCGCTCCCCATCATTCACAGCATATAGTGGAAGTGTTGGCCCTAGCATGGTCAAGAAACTTAGCCACAACGCTAATGAACGTGACCGTCGCAAGAAGATTAAAAGTTTGTATTCTTCACTTCGTTCACTTCTCCCAGCAGCAGATCAAATGGTACGTTTCTTATTGAACCCTAAGAGGCAATTCGTTATAATCAAGAGAAGCTTTTAATTTAAGCATAGGTAGGTCTTGAGTTTGATGGTTGTGATGATATCGTTGCAGAAGAAATTAAGCGTACCGGCCACTGTTTCACGTGCACTTAAGTACCTACCTGAGCTTCAACAGCAAGTGGAGAGACTGGTTCAAAGAAAGGAGGAGCTTTTATCAAAGCAAGGTGGTATAATTCATCAAGAAAATCAAAGAAATGGCACCGTGTATAGCTCTTTATCATCGGTATCGGCAAGCCAGCTTAGTGATAAAGAAGTTGTCGTTCATATTTCCACTTACAAGAACCATAAAAGTCCATTATCAGAAATCTTGCTCACCTTAGAGGAAGATAGACTTGTTCTAAAAAACTCTTCTTCCTTTGAGTCATCTGGGGACAGGGTCTTCTATAATTTACATCTTCAGGTGCTATAACATTTGCTTGTGTTTTTTTGTATGTCCTTCTATGTCTGTCTTTCGTAAAGTTTATAGTCTAATTTTTAACTTTGTGGATTAATTTTACAGGTCATGGAAGGAACTTACACATTGGATAGTGAGGCCATGAGGGCGAAGCTTGTGTCTTTATATGTAAAGAGGGAATCATCGTCTCTATAAATTCATGTGCTCCATATTCTAATTTGATGCGGAAAAATTAGCGTAGGATTTTCTGGATGAGACTTACAAAAAGAAATGGTTTAATAAGCTGTTTTAATGGGATTTAAAATAGTCATAACTGATTGGATTTAAATTTTATAGGTGAATTCCTGATACAAAAAAAAATTGAATATGAATTAAGCTTCTGTGTACTCCTCATCAAGTTTGCTTGCTACTCGGATTTGTCAATTTCCTTTGAAAGCTCTCAAAATTGCCTTCGAAGTTTTGGACCATAATTTAGATTTTTTTCCTTGTTAATTTTGGATTTTAGCTTTATTATTTTTCCTGATTGGTTGTTTCTTAATTATTTATAATATTTAGGGTATTTAAATTTATCTTTTTATATTTTATAAGATTCTTGCTTAACAAAACTACATGTGTACTTTTTATAATTTTGACTATATAACTCAAATTTATAGTTTTCTTTGTGTCATGATTATATATATATATATATATATATGCAATTTAGTTTAAAACGTGAAACAATGACTGTTTGTAATCTCGACGAGCCCAGAAGTATTAATATACTTCGGCCAGCAACACCATGCACTAGAAGAGGGAAACAATAAAAGATAGACCACTAGCATTATCTTCGCCAATGGCAAAAATAAAAAATTCAAAGCCATGAAAGATTTAATTTTTGATATCTCCTCTTAGTGAAAGTGGGATTTTTAATATATTTTTGTTAGAAATGGATATTGACCACACACCACACCGGACAGAAGATTTTTTTTTTTTTTTTCATGACGATTTAAAAATAATGAAACAGATGCAACGTTTGGGGGCCGAGTGATGGTGTCTGAAGTTCGTCTTCATGACGATTTAAAAATAATGAAACAGAATAATGCAACGTTTGGGGGCCGAGTGATAGTATCTGAAGTTCGTTCTCTATATATGGGCTTAAATTTCCTAGGTAAACTTTTTTTTATAAGAAAAATGTTGAACAGATAGTCTAATGTTTTTGTTTCTTTCAATGAAGAAAGGAAATTAGATTGATAAGAAGACCACTTAATGATAAAACACTAAAGCAGTTTTCAGGAGAATTGTATCTTGGACTAGTTGTCAACAAAATCTGGGGATTCCGGTGAGGATTTGGACAACGCAGGTGCAGCACTTGATGCTCCAACTGAAAAAGAATTCATTTCCTCTGTTAACATTGATAGAATCACTTTCTTCTAATGGCTGCTGAAGTAGTTAATTTATAGCGTGTGACATGGAAGGTTTAGTTTAAAACGGTGTGAGTTGAAGACATTCCAATTCCTCCAAATAACATAGAGATCGATTTGAGAAACATATACGAGTACTGGGTTAGAGTAAATAAGTTAATCCAGGTTAATTATTTTTATAAAAAAATAAAGTTTTATTTATATTTGTTTTTGTTTTGCAAAGTGTTGGTCAAGTTATATAGATTGATAGGGTGAAAAACTTGATTAAAGTTGAATGAATTTAATTAAGTTAATATTTAATTCAATTCAACTAAAAATAAAAGTTTAGAACATGTTTTGGATTTTGAATTTTCTAAATTAATCTATTTAGTTATACCATATTTAATAACTATGAAAACAACTTAAAAAGAATTTTTGCAACATGGCTTCCTCCACTAACAGCTAGTACTTTTTGCTAGTGGTGTGAATAATGTTAGTTTATTGGGTTATGCTATATATATATATATATATATCGTAAGAAAATATTTTGCATTCTTTTTAAATTCAGCTTAATAAATTAATTTTAAAAAATCATAACATGATTTTTTACTTTGTTTAGATTTTAAGTTAAACCATGTAAAAATTGCTCTAATATAACATAATCAACTTGATATGTTTAAAATCAATCTAAATAACAATAAAAATATAATTTATTTATTTAAAAAAAAATGATGGCATCTCTTTCTTTGTAATGAAAAAAAGATTTATTTGATCGATCTGAACTTTATGATTAAACAAGTCAAATCCGCAATCCAAATCATGAAATCTTTTGAGTTTAATAATTTAAAAAAAAACTATTTTTTTGTTCTGATATGATCCAATTGACATGATGGATCCAAATGGACCAATAAAAACTTTATATTACTTTGAAATAAATTAAAGATATTATTTTTTTTATATTAAAACAACTACATATTGGATTAATCAGGACTCCATAGCTTAACTCATCAAACCCATAAGTCATTTCATGGTTTCTATTGGGTTTAATAACTCTGTTTTTTTAATTTTTTTACCTAATTATATGATAATAAAATCAAACATTCATGAAATTAAGTATCAACTACATATCAGGATATTTGTTTAAGACTGTGATGATCTTATAAAAAAACAAAGTAAAATAAATTATAAAAAAAATTAAGAATCAGTTAATTATTAAATGATGAAATTAAAAACAAAATAATAAAAAAAATATTTATTTCACTGTTTATATTAACAATACAAACAAGTGATTTCCTCCTCAATTTTTTTAGTGTTGTAAGTAATATATTTTTCTAGTTCAAATTAATAACTCTTTAAATTTTAGATTTTACCTAGTATAATTATGTATAAATTTTTACAACTTAAATCCATTTTTTTTTCTATGCAATAAATTCTTAGGTAACATTTGTTTATTGTTCTAGGATAGAAAAAACAGAAACAAGAGGGATAAACATGTATTTAGTTGAAGAGATAAAGATAAAAATATAAAAATAAATTATTCTTTAAGATAATTTTGAGTGAATTTCTACACTTTCAAAACATAAGGTACACCATAATGATATTTTTTATTCTTAAAATATTCTTCTAAAAAAAATCTGAATTTTAAGATTATAAGTGTACGTGTTCTAAGCCAAATGAATTTCTAAGCCAAATGAATTACATTTTATTACAGTCTAATACACATCTAACATGAACGTGTTTTGGATTGTACTTGGTAAGAAAAATATTAAAGGTAATTTTTCTTGTCTCTCTAAAAGCTTAAAGGGGTATTATTATGTGTGCATAATCGAGAACATAAAAGCATAAATTTCAAGGAATGCTTGATAGAAATTTTGTAACCATGCGACAAAAATTAAAGTAGATACTTTTTTGAGAAAAAAGCAACGACTTGAATCATATAAAGACAACATTTTTTCCATTAATCAGAACTTCAAACCCCAACAGATTTTCAAATCCCAGAAGAACCCTCCTTGTCGCAGCTTGGTTAACATTCACACCAATAAGAATTGACAACTTCATCGGCAGATTTGCTGATGCAGCGGCGGAAACTGAAGATAATAATTAAAGATAAAACACATGATATTTTAACAAGTGAAAATAGCTATAAATGTCAGCACTAAATTCACAAGCTTATTTTCTCTAAAATAATGATAATAAAGTTTGCTTTTTTTAAAGATTTACAAAGGCTTGAATAGTTTAGAAATTCTACCTCAACTAGAAAACAAAAATAAAAATCTGAAATTACATAAAAAAAAAAGGCATAAAATCCATAATAAACAAGAAATCTAAAAATAAAAAAGAAAATCATAAAAAATGCTAAATCCATAGGGCTTTGATAAGTTTATCAATATCTAAAGATCTAAAGGTTCACATAGCTATACAATCGTTTTAACGGGGAAACAACCCCAGAAAACTACTGTAAAAATTTAAGTGTGATCTAACAGTTAAATCAAAAGTTATGACTCTTTTAAGTCGTTATTTTGGTCTGGCATGACCAAACCTTCTCTTAGACCTTGACCTACATCACTGATCTGTAAATATATATTTTAAGTCATCCATATAATATGTCTGAAGCAAATCCTCATTTAGTTGTGACAGATTTATACATGATCGTTCAAAATCATACGTTATTGCAGGCCCGACTATATCATTCTTCTTGGGTTGAAGAATACTTGTCCTCAAGTTCTATTCCTCCAAATAAGAAGTCAAATGCTAGTTATTGAAGACAATAAAAGTCTTCATATAATGAGGAAGACAAATCTTATAAATATTATCATTTATCTTCTGCAACACCTTACAAGAACTTATCTTCCTTTTCTTTAACTTATTATACTCATCTACTAAAAACATGTCATGTATAAGAACTACTCATACCAAATCACCAACCTCAAACACCACTCTCATATCATGACTATCAGATATGGCCTTATACTTTGCATTGTTGTTGTTGATAGTCCATTTGACCTTCTCATGAATGTCATGTAAATAATCTTCCATATTAGTAGCTTTGATATGGCCTTATACTTTGCATTGCTGTTGTTGATAGTCCATTTGACCTTCTCATGAATGTCATGTAAATAATCTTCCATATTAGTAGCTTTGATGCTTGCTCGTGTCATGTGAGGCACAAGAATTAGCTCTAGTACTCTAGAAGAATTCTTTCCATAAATGATCTCAAATGGACTAAATTAGGTTGTCCAATTTCATGACCTATTATAAGCAAACTTCACCTATAGCAATGTTATATCCTATTATTTTGATTTATCTCCAACTAAGCTTTGTAGTAAATTGTTAGGCTACAATTAACCATTTCTATTTACCTATCTATCTAAAGGTGATAAATACTACTAAAATTTAGTTGAGTTCTCATCCTTCCTGTCTCACCCTCCCACGCGCGACATCTGATGGCGATTTTTTTCATTTATTTTGCTTGATTGGTTTTTTGGAGTCGTCACCTAGTATTTTTATAAAAAAAACCACATATTAGTCAAATTCTTAAGGCTTTAATAAATCAATTATTAAATTCCAAAAAATATATAGAAACATGTTCTTATATCTTCACGGAAAATACAACATGATTTTATTTGTTCTATAAATACTTGACTATATACAAATTAAAACATTAAATTTATTTTTTGTCTTTTTTAATTTTATAATTCAATAACATACATAAAATACACACACACACACATATATTTCTCTTTTTTTAATTATTATTATTATTTTCCCCACATTTACAAGTTACAAATCACAAAAATTCAAAATAAATCAAACAACACCTTACACAATTCAAAAATTATATAATAGCCCCTAAAATTCCAGGAAAACTGCTGGGAAGGCATCTGGACCAAAAAACAGTGGCGGCGCGTCTCCTCCATGCGTCGATTTTATTTGGGTATTTTTTAGATCTGTTTAAAGCATTCTGTTCTCCTCTCCTCTTGGTTTGTTCTACTTTCTGCCAATGTCAGATCAAGTGGTTGGGGTAGCTATAGGTTTGGCCTTGCTGCTATGCGCGTGGCCACTGAAGCTGCTCTTGAGATGGGAGTGGTTGTTCAGTCGACGATGGGGCTGT